TGTTATTACTTGACGTTTGGCGGTCACTTTGGGATTTGTTCGGTCTCTGCACACGTGGGCTGTTCTGTGGGCCACGCTCAGGCCCCATTTGCCCTGCTCTCTTCAGAATACATGTATCCAGTCCAACTTATTGGCTTCTTCCACTCTGTGGGAAGGCTTGGGACGCTACAATAGTACTTCGAAATGCCTTTACGATTGTGCAATGGAAAGTGCTTTCGGAAAACATGTCTCCTTAGTAGGCCAAAGCACACGATACCGCGCAGCTCGAGGTTTGCTCTAGGGGAAACAATCAGTATGACCAGCTGGGGCGTGCGCGTTTATGCTTGTTTTCGAGAATACACATATACAGCATCGCTTACTACTTTCATACCCGGTAGCAAATCTTGGAACGCTACACTACTTAATGTAGTATTGCATGCATTGTATTGCTCATTTTTCATCTTGCTGGTTTGTGCACAAATTTAACCTTTTTAGGTTGATTATGTGCATTCAGCCCCGCTTTTTACTTTCTCCCACCCTATACTGTGGTTTATAATATTTTTAACCAGATCTCTGGTCCTCTTTAGTGCATTTTTATCCAAAGTAACTTTAGTGAAATATGCAAAAACATGTTGGACCCAAATTGGTAGGGGCATGTCTTGGTGCAAGTACAGCTGCGAACACAACACATTATTTCTCCTTCGTCACCACTCTCTTAACAAGCTCAGCCTTGTAAACCTGTTATTGGTTCTAAATGACCAAACTATGACAACCGCGGTTAAAACCAAACTGGAGCCACTTTATTACCTTACTTCCACCTCCATTCAGACCCAAAAATCTAAGCTCTCTAGTTTATCACCTGAAGATCCAGATTCGAAACATCATAGTGTTTTCTCTCATGCACTTGCGATGCTTTTACATGTAGCCTTATGTCCGGCGATTACAGCAATATTGCTCTTGGCCTTCAGACCAAGCCAAGTACCAATCCCTTCTTACCGTCCTACAATACATGCATACGACCCAACTTCACGCCTTCTTCTACCTGGTGGAAAGTCTCAGGAAGCTAAAGAGCAGACAAACAATATCCCCGTGTTGTAGCACGCCTCACATTAAAATACCAATGGTATCCTAATGCACATTGTTTTTTAACTGTACTCTGTGAGGAGGGGGCGTGCAGGTCGATTGTGAGAACCCTTCCAATACTATTCCGGATACCCTAGGTGTACGTATACTCCTTTTTATAGTGTCTACATAGGAAAACCTAATAAGTTAAGAATGCTAGGAGGAACGACGAAGGGTGTGGGAAAGAAGGCAATACAAATATGAGAAGTCAAGAAGTGCTGCACTGGCCAAGAAATTATCAGCCAGAGGGAATTATCTGGATAGATAAAACTAAAGCATGAGGAACTCAAAGTCCGGATTGAGTGCACAACTTAAAATGTCCACAGCTCTGACATTTGCAGCGGAAAAAAACCCACATATACTAGAGTTGCGATTTAAACGACCGTGCAGAGAAGCAGAGGAGTTATGCTTTTCCAGAATAAAGCAACATGGACAGCAAGGAATGCAAAAAGTTCTGTAGAAGAGTCATAGGCAGATATGAATGAAAGACTCAAAAATGTAACTACTATGTGTTCTTTTACATTGCGTCGAAGTGGAACCGTTGAGACTCCTGCATCCTTTCCTTTTGATCCTCACGAACTTCGAGATATTGAAGTACAACAACGACAATAAGAAGAACGATGCAGGTGACCAGTAATGTGATTGCTACATATATGACCTTCATATCGTAGAGAGGTTGTAAGAATAGCTTGGCTTGCCAACTATCAAAGTAAGCAAAAATATACACAGAATAGCATTCATCCGCAGGTATGATGAGAATAGTAAAACCACCAGAACTTACTTCAAGGGGTTATTAGGAGGATATGGGACGACAACCACTTGGGCATTCGGGACAATGAATGTGAGTTCGTGCTTCCGAATTTGCTGTATTTAGAAACAAAGTGCAAGTTAACATGCATTTTTTCATAGCAAACCAACACAGAGTGGTGTTTTGCACCACCGCCACACTTGAGTCACGCAAAGTGCAACTACTAGAATAGCTGGTATGAAATAAATGTTGAGAGGCAAATATATGGAAATACCTGTCAGTCTTGAGCAAGTGAGACCATTTGATAGAAGTCCCCAAACTTACCTGTGCCGGAGCAGGAACGGAAACAGGGACATTTTCAATGTATGTAGCAAAGTCACCGAAACCAAAGGTCGTGAAAGGCAGTTGCAGAGCGCCACAACAGGAGGAGGTAACAAATACACCACTAGAGCGTATGCGTCCACCATCAACTCCTTGCGTTTCGTAGGAGGCGCGAAAGCCATAACCCGGCAGTCCATAGGGCAGAACGCCATTAGGACACTGACTTGAGCTGCCACAAAGACCAGTTGTCAGCATAACCTTAAAACGGATGAGTGAGGGTCAAGTCTCACGATACGACAAGGTAAGTTTTTAAAGTAAAATTGCTTACTAATGCTAAGCGCTAAAGTGGAGCGCACTCAAAGATGCGTTCCTGCATTGTCCATAGCAAAGACAGGCAAATTAAGCACTTACTTTCAAAAAATAGGCTTCCTTTGTAAGCTTCTGCATGTAAAGAGAAGTACTGACCCCATCCTTGTCTTCGTAGGAAATATATAAATCCAAAATACCCTGGAATGGAATACATGGCACAACTCATTAGTATGAGATCTTATCCTGGTGAGCGTAGAGTTGGACTGCGTGAGGAGAATTACAAATAAAACATAAAGCTCACATCCTCATTGTAGTCATAAAAGGCTATTTGCTTCAATATTCCCTTAGATTCAACGCCGGGCAAAAGATAAGCCTGGAACCGGACCCTCTCCCCAGCACCTGCGAGATTGCGCAGAATGGCTGGGAGAATGATCTGATCGGAATTGAGGCTGCGGACGCATCTAAGGCCCACCGCAAGATCTGGATAACCGTCAAGATCGGCATCGCCTAGGGACATGCCAAGGATGGCTGCAGATGAAAATCTATCGACTGTGGTAGGAACTAAAGAACAATCGCCTTCCAAGTCTGGAGGGTTCCACTCCACATCAACCTTTTCCCAGACCTAACGATGAAAACAAATTATTATGCCCTCTCAATCAGTGATAGATTGCGCTTAAATATTTAATAATGTAAAAATAAATATTTTCAAAACATACACCACTCGAAGTAAGGGGATGTATGAAGATGTGGGACTTTCCGCAGTTCATATCCTCGCAACCCGCAATTAACAGTTGGATTTGGCTTGACATATCTTAATAATAGAAAAAAATAAAAATAACCTTGCTTAAAAGGAAAACTAGTACAAATGTTTAAGTTCCAGACTTTGCATTCTTGTATACTGCAATGAAACGCGTGCACCCTAGACTAGGCAATCCAAAAAACCCCTTTCTCGAGACTGACATGTCAAAAAAGGCTTCATGCAGGTTTTCCTTTGAGTGGTGTGTTTGAGGGCATACTATAAATTGCTTGTGCAAATACCAAACATATGGAAAGCCTATTAACAGTACCTCAACAATCCCGTAGGGAAGCATGTGGAAAGTGACTCACTGAAATCGCCGAAAACAAATTTCCCTACAGGTTTTCCGCCTTTAAGCTCAGATGGCAATGGGTAATAGGTTGTGTTCTGACCATCGAAAACCTCGATCCCGTCATCAACAAGAAGCACGAGAGCTGAAAAAACACAGCACTGTTTAGAGCTA